CAATAGAGCGAGAGCTTGCTCTACAAAGACCTTGCCTTCATTCCACAGCCACCTTGGAAACGTGGACTGTAACGAGAAGTCAGGTGGCGCTGTATCGCTTCCCTGGATGCCAGGAGAGTAGCCACGCTCAATAATCAGATTAGATACCAGCACAGGTGGTCTCCCAGCCCCAGTACCATGATGCCAATTAAATCCCTGGCACAAAATATTACCCATGGAAGGAGAGAGAAGGGCAATCCTTGATTGGTCTAACTTTGAACCTGATATAATCAAGAAATCACCAACACATTGACATTTAGATTTAGGGTAATTGACCATGTTTTCTGATATCTGGAAGGGGGCTCAATATAACAATTAAGGTGTTAGGAAAACATAGAGTTAAATTTTATTCCTGACTTTTTAGACTAAAAATTACATAGGCATTTGGTCTGGTCCATACAGTTTGACTCTTCTCACTTAGTTATTGCTTATGCAATGCTCCAATGACTAACCAAGTCATGCTGACTCATTTATTCCTGCTAAAGGGAACTATTTTTTCTCTGAAAGTCAACTCGATTGATGAAGCCCAGATTCTAAGGAATAAAATATTGTGGTGTGAAAACCACACTATGTTCAGCATTGAGAATGCAAAGGCTAACCAATAAAAAAAAATAAAAAATAAATAAATAAAAAAAAAACACAGAAAGAAAAGATGCTCCCAGCCCCATTCAATTACCTGGATAAGAAAAATGCTCAGTGACTGGAGCCCAAGTTTTTCCATGATTTATCCCAATCATGGAAAGACTAGGCAAAATGATCATTGCTTAATTCTCTGACATTATGCTAGATCATTTTATAACCCCACTTGATTCTAATCTAACACTTTTGGGTAATTTCCCAGTATATTTAACTAACAATCCATACTGATAACAGTTTACAGCCCACAGCATTAGGGATTTACCTGCAGAAACTGACCTATTGGTATGACTTCATAGGCCGAACAGGAAGTTAATCACAAACACACATGGTTTAATTGCCCTGTAAAAATCTCACCAGTCTTATGTTTAATTTAGCAATGTTATTTCGGCTTTTCTCTCTTGACTAACTATTTAAATCCCTGCTCTTTAAATGCTCTTAGAAGCAGCTCTTTTATTCTCCAGCTGGTTCCATCATTAATAGATTAAATAAAACTGGAACATTTGCTAAAGAATAACTTTAAGAATTGTGCTTTTGCATTCCAATATGGTTTGAAAAAGTATTTACATAAATTATTTACATAACTCACTATCTAAAGAAGTGGTTCTCAACCTTTTTAATGTCTCAACCCTTTAATACAGTTCCTCATGTTATGGTGCCCCACAACCATAACATTTTTTTTGTTGCTACTTCTTAACTGTAAGTTTGCTACTGTTATGAATCGTAATGTAAATATCTGTGTTTTCCAATGATCTTAGGCTCTACGGCAATGGTTCTCAACCTGTGGGTCCAGAACCTTTAGCAGGGTCGCCTCCGGGGACCTGGTCCACACTCCTCCAGTACCTCACTTGGCAGGAAGAATTAGGAGGCAAATTATCAGTGGCAAAGGAAATGTCACCTACCCTTTCTCCAATCTAAAATCTAATATTAAAATAATGTTTCCATCCTTGAAGTAATCATAAGATTACTATGCAGCTGTTCCCAATAGCAAGGATAGACAAAGATGTATATAGGGTAGGTCTGCATCAGTCACTCAGTGAGTTTTCAAGGGTCTGATCTCAGAGGAAATGCTCTGGATATATGCAAACTTTACAAAAGATGCTTATAATCTGGATGGAAGGTAGAGCTAATACAACAAAATCCCATCAAGTGATAAAGAAAGTATATAATTATATGCCAAATCACATAGTATAAACTATTGTAGTATTATAAGTTTTGATTAAAATCTGGGGAGCACATTTTTATGTGCAAAAAGAATTATAAAATGAGAGAAGGCATGTACTTAGAATCATGGCAATTGTGAAATTTAGTATTAAGTACCTATTGTGAATGGCTAATTTGAACGTAAGCTACTAATTTGAATGGTTGCTCATTAGAAAGAGAATTAGCTGTACTCTCAGGAATATATGGGAGGGACACTGACAATTTTCTTTAGATCAGCTCATTATGAGTAAAAGATAAGTATAAAAATAGATTCTCTGTCATCTAGTAAGAGAACAAAATTAAGAGCCCAGATTTCATGAAGTGACAATTCCTAGTCAAAACACAGAAAAATAAGAATCTCCATACATCAATTCAGTGCCTACTAATGCTGATGAAAATGAAAACTGAGCATGGGAGAGAAAATACCAGTGTCAATCCAGTCAAAACTATGTATGGTGCCATATGGGCACTGAAATATCAAGGGAGGAAGGGAGAAAGGGAATTTTTGCAAAGTATATGATTATCTAACCACTATGCTGTACACTGGAAACTAATAATATTTAATATAAACTGTAATTTAAAATAAAATTTAATGTTTCCAAAAATTAAACAATATATCAGGAAAATAGTAGTGCAGATGGTACTCAGGTATGGTCAGCTGTGCAATGAAAATCTATAAAAGACCAAAGTTAGGGAAGCAGAGCTAAAATAAGCAACATGCTTTACATTTTTGTTCATCCATTGATTCTATGTTAATTATTGTTACTATTTTCACCTATGCAATATAGAAATTTCTAAATTTTTATTTCTATTAGCAGAGAATGATAGTCTATTATCTAAACTAAAGAAAGTCTATAAGACATTTACACAATCTAGTATAAAAATAAAAATAAAGAATAAGCCTGGCCATTTTGGCTCAGTGGTTGAGCATCGACTTATGAACCAGGAGGTCATGGTTTGATTCCTGGTCAGGGCACATGCTCGGGTTGGAGCTCAATCCCCAGTGTGAAGTGTGCAGGAGACAGCAATCAGCATTGATGTTTCTAGCTCTCTCATCTCCCTTCCTTTCTGCAAACAATATAAATATATGTTGTAAAAAAGAGTTAGAGGACTTTTCACTATAATTGTGTTCACATGAAATAGTTCCAGAGTTATTTGTTCTACAGGAGTTTTGATTCTGCTGTATCATCACAATATGGACCTAGAAGTCCACATTTTTGGAGTACAATGTAGGCAGGATCTTATTACAACACATCCACGTGGGATTCTAAAATAATACTTCTCACCCTTTGTTCTGCTAGAGCCCATAGAAAATGATGTTCACATACTAGCTATAGTCCTGGGGGCATACCTAGGCTTAGACATAAATCCCCTTCCTGACAATTTTTTCTAGAACATTTAGGTAATACAGGGCTGCAGTTGTTGGTTATATATAATTTCCAGCATGTTCCTTTTTATCCAATAAAGCGAAATCAAATTTTAAATAAATGAAATACTAATATGATCTGCTTGTTTTGTTTTTAATAAATCATTCACACATTTCAGTGCTGTACCTATTCTGGGTAACAAAGACCTAAAATATAACCAGAGCAAGAGTGACTCCCGCCTTTTTCTTCTCTGAGTTAGGCTAGAGATACAGAGGGGATAACTGAAGAGGGGTGTGATTTACAGGTGAGGGTGGGCTGGTACCAGTTGTTTTAGGATGGAAAAAATACAGAATTGTTTTTCTATTGGAAAATAGAAACCTACTATCATAAATTGTAACTCAAACGGTCATATGCATGAATGTGTTCTATATTACAATATTAATCTCCTTTATGGGTAAACTTTAGCATTCACTGACAATACTCACAAATGCTATACCATATTCTGTTTTCAATTAAAAGATATATGTGAATCAGTGAATATTTTTAAAAAAACTGAACAGTATAGCAAACAGTATATTACATGTAAACTGTGCTAAATATTAATAGGTCCAAAGATCTGATCAATTCCACTGACATCAAGTCAGATCTTAATCTGACCTTTAGGAAAAGGAAGCATGCCCTTTAAGAAAAGGAATCCCTATATGGGTCACAACAGAACTGTGAGTTGTTTACATATGTGTGTGCATGATCTGCTCTTGCTGTTAAAAAATTAATCAATAATGACTGTTTTAGCTTCATGATGATGCTACGAACTTGCTCTATGCAAAGATAGTAGGAATAGAGGAACACAGTCAACATGAGAGCTTTAGACATCTTAATAACAAAGTCATCCTTTTTTGCATCTATGTTGACAGGGTAAATAGCCCCAAGGTCTCAATAACTATTCCAAGTGTCTTTATTAAATACGGAGAGATGGACTAATATTACAGGAAATCAGTTCACATCACCTTTGTTCACTATACATGTTAACACTACAAAACATGTGAATTGAGGAAGTTAAAGTGAAAATATCATTAAGCAGTAATTCCAAATAAACCAAAGTAGTCAAACAGAACTTTATACTCAAGTCATATACTCCTCCACATGTTAAAAACACAGTCACTAAACTTTTTCCTGAACTGTCCAGGTTTAGCTGACAATTTTACCATTACTGTTGTACTTCGGTCCTCTTTAACAGAAATCAGAAACTGTCCCCTTCCCCCCAAACCATTATGATAAATACTTATATTTATTTTAAGAATCATAATTACTAAATTATTAAAGACAATATGATATGATATATTATATTGTTTTAATCAAATACAAATAATTAAAAAGAACTATATATATCAGAGTAAAGGAGAAAGAAAAAATGTACTTTTAGTCTCCTGTATCATATTAGTCTAGAGCTTATAGAAACTTGTATGTAAAACATAGCTACTATTTTTTGCTCGTAGGTATGCACTTTAAGCACCAATAGTTCAAACTGGTTTCTATTCCCACCAAAGCAGAAATGCAAATTTGAGAAAAGTAGCCTATATTTACATCAAATAAGTGAACACAGAAAGCATTTTGATACTCTTTAAATGCCAAATAAGGACAGACAAAACAAGATTAAAATGACCTCCCAAGCATCATTCAGACATTTCAGGCCCAACTATAATTCTGTGTTCACCCTTTGTGCACTTGACATGAACTTGATCTAAGAAGTACTACCATGATCTTTGAGATTGCGGAGGATCACAGTGGGGAGGCTGTGGGACTGCCACCCCGTCACTTGCTCGGCCTCTACCTCCTTAATGTGGGCTCTGAGCATGAGGGGTGGCACTTTCAGAAGCAGGTCAAGAGGCAGCAAAGCTGAAGAAATAAAAGGGGGAAAAATAAGAAACTGTAACATACATTACATTGAATTTCAGGGAGGCATGCATGAGTTCATTGCTGCCAACATTACATTACCTGGTCTTGGTCTTGATACCACTCCCCCAGTGAAGTCCCTGAAAACAGAATGAGGGGCCATTAGAAGGACTTGTTCAACTAGGACTTACTGAAAGCCTGCACCTTGCTATGGCTTAGGTTTTAAAAGTAAATAAAGTTTTCCCCCCATAAGACATTCTCAAGAGTTCAGTAAAGAATAAAATAAACATAACTTAACCCAGAGCAGACCTGACAACCCACTGAGCAATAGAAGAGCTTTGTCCAGCCAGAGTTGTTTATCAGCTCTAATGACTAGGAGCCTAAATCCCTTAGCACCTTGAATGATTTGCTTGTTACACTAAAATGAACATACTGATTTGTATGAAAAAGAAATATTTAATTTTTAGATATATTATTTTCCTACACTTTGTCCCTGATGTCTTAAAAAGAAACTATCTCATCCTATGAGATAAGATGATTTTTGCATTTAAAAGGACTATATCTTTCCTAAAGTTTCCAGTATTATTAACATCTCTTGTTTGCACTGCCTTAAAATTCTGGATTTTCTGATCCTTCTGCAAGTTGGTCTCAGCGCCTTCAACCCAGGGGAGGTGGTCTAAGACCCCACCAAAAACAGTCATAAATAACCTTTTTTCCACTAAAATTTAGACCCCATTTCTTAATAGTTGGATTTTAAAAAATTAAATTAAATTTTAAAAAATCTGTGCCCTGGCAAGTTATAAGAACCACACTTCCATTTAATGCAATCCAACAAAAATATATACAACATCAACCAAGTATGAGGCACCCCATAGTCATTTGCTGAGGAGTGATGCATTCATATAGGGATTCAAATGAACATGATTGGTGATTCTCTTACCCTACCTTATTCATTTTCATCATAGAGATCTTGATATATGCATATGCCTAAGCTGTGAGGAATAACAAAATTGGCACTCATTACCTACCACCTAACTTCTAAGTACTAGAATAAAGCTAAAATCTTTACATCCAACTGTGAGTTCCTTCCCTATCCTTTTCCATTCCTCCTAACTCTCTACTAAACCAGCCCTCTCTTGATACCATTATTTTTTCTGTCCCATTTCTAGCCCGTGTTTTCAGAGCCTTAAAAAGTAAATGAATCTTGCCAGTCTTGCAGAGTTAATGTACTCTCCCTAGCCCTGGGATAAAGAGATGTATAAAGAAAGAAAAGGGATGGCCTTTGCCCGCAGAAAGTTCAAAGAGGGCAACGCTCAGCCCTGGCTGGTGTTCTCAGTGGTTAGAGGGTATCCCCTTATACAAAGGGTCAAGGGTTCAATTCCCAACCAAACCTGGGTTGCAGGTTTGATCCAGCCCCAGTCAGGGCACCTGAGGGAGGCAACCAATTGATGTATCTCTAACATCAATGTTTTGCTCTCCCCACCTCACCTCTGCCCTCCCTCCCTTCCACCTTTCTACTATTTCTAAAAATCACCTCAGGTGAGGATTAACAAAAATAAAAAAGGAGGCAAGATCCATAGCTCCTGAGATTACAAAAGGGCCTTTCTGGCCACGTGTATGATACTGGATGATTACAAATGCCCATAATAATCTTTACATGCAAAGACTAGAGTCAGGCACACACCCCTGGACATAATTATGCATTCACTGATTTATCAAAGTTGTGAACCACAAGCATCTCTGCTGCCATAAACATCCGATGTCATAAACTAGCCTGCCAACTATATCCTGTTGCCTTAGCAACAGGGCACAAGCAAGCATGGAAAAAATCTTGTTGCCTGAGCAACAAAATCTTAAAGAAAAGAGGGAATGGGGCCTTAGGCTGTGACTATGGCAAAGGCTGTAAGTTCAAGCCAGTAGGTGAGATTTCAGTCCTATTACAGTGAGAAATATAGAATTTCTGCCAAGATAAAAATCATGCAACTATTAATTACAGGTATTTGTGGACTAGAACCTCTGTGCAGTGCACTGTGTCCTGGACAATGCAATAAAAGACCAGACATAGTCTGTTATGTATCAACACACAGTAACAAATATCCGTTGATGTTCTTAAGGTCATGACACAGTGTCCAAAGCTTAGCAAGATCCGGGTGTACGTGACAATGGAGGAGGCTGAAGCCCCTGTGTGTATTATCAAATTCCACTCTACAGAATAATTTATTTGTAAATAGAAATAAAATTTTATGTCTTATTGAATTAGAACTATCAATATATATATACTGAGTGAGGCTATAAAACCCAGCTAGAAACTGATAAAAGTCAAGCCCACTCCCTATTGTTGTAATAAAGGAAGCAATAGTAATAAAGGAAGAAGATTTTATATTGCTTAGATCACTGAAAATGATTAAAGTTAGAAATTTCAAATCAAGTCCTAATTATTAAATTTTGAATTGCTTTTTCCTGACAGACATTAACCCAGCTTTTGTCTAACTCTGTTGATAGGCACAAAACATCAAACAAACGTTAACAATAAGGATGTCTATTCATATGGTTATTTGAAAGTAGATAATATTTTGTGAGAGTTTGACCATGAACAGTGAGTCCTATTTTCCCTCTTACGCCTTATCATTTCAGAGATACACACATTAAAGGATGATTTCCACAAACACTATCGTCTGCTTCACCCCCTCTCAATATACACATGAAGTTCATCTCTCTCCAAGTGGGAATGAAAAGTGTACAACCCCTCTGGAAAACACTTTAGCAGTTTCTTAAAAAGTTAAGTATAAACCTACCATATGCTCCAACCATGTCACCCTAGGCATTTAGCCAAGATAACAAAAAACATAGTCCATATCAATCCAGAAATGTTTATCTGCTTCTCCCTGGTTGATCACACTCCTCAAATCTAGACCATCCAATCATCTAATAAACAAAACCCACCAAGTATACCACTTCCCTTAATATCCCCATTCTCTGCTTTCTAAGCTGCATTTTATCTTTGCCTCCATTTCTCAGACGCAGAGAAATGGTTGTTACCTCATCTTTCCCAGGCCCCTTCTCTTTCTCACTGGGAAACTGTCCACCATCGCTTCTCTTCCATCCTAAATCTCTCCTCTCCAGGGTCTGCTTCTCCTCAGTCCCAATCAGCCTGCAGAAGATTCTAGAAGGCCCTTTTCCATTGACATTCCCCACCAGCTAACTTTCGCCACTCTCCCCTCACTTTCTTCAATTGCTCTGCACCCTTCTCTGTCACTTCTAAAACCACCACAGTCAGGCTCAGGCTTCTGTTCACACTAGCCTCGCCCGATGCCACGGAAACTGCTCTCAGGAAGGTCTGTAGCCAGGGACTTGGAGAAGGCCAAATTGAACAGTTTTGTTTTAGTCCTAAGCCCAGGAATCAACTATTGTAGAAACTTCTAGTTATTCCTTATTCCTTTTAAAAACAGAAGTCCCCACACATACTTATCCTCCCTTGCAGCTACTGTAGAAGTGGTCATATGACAAAGTTCTGGCCAATGGTATGTGAGCAGAAGGGATGAGCACATCTGGGTCATGTGCTTAAAAGAAGGAGCGTATCTCCCTTTCCCTTCCCACTTCCCACCAGCCACATGAGGATAAAACCTATTCCCCAGAGATGTGGCAAAAAAAATTTTTAAACAAATAAATAAATAGCCAGGGTTCCAGTTGATCTCAAAAAAGCACAATTGCCCTACCTCCCTGGCCTACCCTTGAGTTCAAAGAAATGAACTGGTTAGCTGAAGGCCGCAAAGCCAGACTAAAACCAGATCTAAGCTTAGTTGCTTGGTATGCTGCTTGGTAAACTACATCAGTTCTGTGGGTGGGCTCTAATAGCCTCCATTTCCACATGCCCAGGGTAACTTCTAGCTATCAGGTTTCAAGTTAGGCAGCAATAACTTAACTCTACTTGGTCTAAAAATATTCCTAAGAGCTCAATGTGTACATACCTCATTTGGGATTGTCTTTCTCCTCCTGAAGCACTAAAACTTCTCTTTAAAATGCCTGGAACAAGAAAATAAAAATAATTACATAGTTTCCCATTGCAAAAAAAAAATCATTTATTTGTTTGGTTGATTGCTTAAAGTGTGCTGCATTCTATTATCTGAGAAATTGTACATAGTATAAAGACTATCTTCATTTATGAAAGCACCAGCTAAAATATAATGTTGCAAATTAATATTTACCTGACAGTTTTGTCTAGAGTCTTTTTTAATTAAGAAAAGGTGCTAAGCAAAGAAACTCCATTATTAATAGCTAACAAGGAACAATAACACATCTATGTCATAATCATCCAAAAGCTTTGCTAAGACAGCCAGCTGCAAGTTACCACATGCAAATTTAAGGGTCCAACTTTTTCTTTCCCACTGACCCTCCCGCCATTGTTACTGGAGATATACAGCACTGAATTCATCTTAAAACAGTCAGTAATAACTGCTTCTAGAATCTGCTACACATATTTATATGCATGGATATTTTTATGTACAATATTCATATTTTCCCAATTACAAATCAAGACATTTTCCCTAGGCCCTCCCCAGTTTGGCTCAGTGGAGAGAGTGTTGGCCTGTAGACTGAAGGGTCCCAGGTTTGATTCTGGCCAAGGGCATATGCCTGGGTTGTGGGCTCGATCCCCAGTAGGGGGGCATGCAGGAGGCAGCCTGTTAATGATGCTCTCTCATCATTGATGTTTCTATCTCTCTATTCCTCTCCCTTTCTCTCTAAAATCAATAAAAATACATATTTTTTTAATTTTAAAGACATTTTTCCCTAGTAAGCTGAAATTTATGGGGAAAACAGAGCAAAGTGTTGGAAACTGGGATTATCCTGGAAAATCTGAAACATCTAGTCACAAATTTTCCAATTAAGTTTGAAAATGGACAAAGAAGGAAACTAAATCCCTGGGGTTCTAATTCTATCCTTAGGGAGACTATTTTATACCTTCTTTTTTGAAACAGTCATTGGTGAGAAGTCACACAGTCATTGGTAAGAATTATTTTCACTTATTTTAGAGAGCATTTCTATCTACCCTATTTAATATCCCCTGAATTTATTCTTTTAAAAAAGTTTTTATTTTCTCTCCATTTTCTATTATAACATCTTTTCTTTCAGATTTGTTGAGTGAATTGAATCCTCTTCTTATCTTCTTTAAATTTTATCTTAATATATCTATTATTTTTCTTTCCCATATCCCAGTGTGACTGTTTTCTTTACTGTTTCAAATTAAGAGTGAAATTAACATATTTTTCATAGTTCTAAACAATTAAATTATTTAGGTTACTTTTGTGTTTTAAGAATAATACATCCCTTTTCTTTAATGTAAATAACGTTTTACAAAACTTAGTCTATACCGCTCTTATTTATTCTCCAAGTTTCTTTTTTTTTAATCCTCACCCAAGAATATTTTTCCCATTAATTTTTAGAGAGAGAGTGGAAGGGAGAAAGAGAGAGAGAAACATCGATGCGAGAGAGATACTTTGGCTAGTTGCCTCCCATACCAGCCCCAACGGGGGCTGGAGATCTAACCTGCAACTGAGGCACGATTTGACCACTGAGGCAACAAAAAACCACTGGTTGGTTTGGGGGCTCAGTCAGAGTGATGACACACCTGTGCTAATTAGCATTGCACCTGGGAAACAAACCACTGGGTTGTGTATGGGATGACATTTACCTGACACCCAAACTACTACCTGCTGGAATCCACAATTGGTAAAGAACGCTTACTGAATGTAGATTCTTTCAAAGGGCTGGAGCTGGAGCTGCTGGAGTTGTCTGAAATGTCCAAGTCATCGTCTAGCTCTGAGTATATATCTGCACATTAATAAACAGAAGAAACAAATGAACCCTGAGACAGAGAGCAGGCCGGAGTGCTTGCCAGCCCTTCACTAGAATTACCTTTCTCCATGTTTTCCAGGTTGAAGGTGTCATCCGACAGGATTTCATCACAGGCCCTGTCGTCTTCCCTCCCACAGGGGGCCTGGAGCCCTTCGGGGGGCAGGTCCACGCTCTCCGAAAGCTCGCTCTTCAGGCTGGCTGCCCCACTGCTGCTGCTGCTCAGGCTTGCCTTCTCGAAGGTCTCCTAGAGAGAAACACAACCTTTAGTAGACACTTCTGTCTTCCTTCTGCAGCTTACAAAGCTTGTTAGGACATATATTAAAACACTTAATTACAAATATGTGTGCTGAAGTAGCATCAGAGGCTCCAACTATAGATTTGCCATAAAATTCTCTCTCTCTCCATAAATAGATATAGATATAGATATAGATATAGATGTAGATGTAGATGTAGATGTAGATGTAGATGTAGATATAGATATAGATATAGATATAGATATATAAATTTTTTTGGTAAAGGTACCATTGGATTAAAAAAAAATGGATGTGGCAAGATGCTTAGTCACAAAGGTCTGTGTAAGCTGGTGGAGGAAAATGTAGTTACTAAGGCCCTGGCTGGTGTGATTCAGTTGGCTGGGCATTGTCCCCTGCACCAAAGGGTTGCTGGTTCGATTCCCAGTCAGGACACATGTCCAAGTTGTGGCTCCGTCCCTGTGGGGGACATGCAGGAGGTAGCCCATTGATGTTTCTCTCCCTCTCCCTTCCTCTCTTTCTAAAAAATCAATAAAAATATCAACAACAAAAATAAAGAAAATACAGTAATAAGGAACCAACGTCTATCAAGGAAACTGAGAGCTCTCTTATGTTATTTTGAAAAGATGTGCTATCACATCTTCTCAGCACCACAGAGAATAAGTAAGGAAGGCTTAGTTTCTTCAAAGTTCAAGGGTAATTAGTAGTAGACACAGCGCAGGCCATGGAGAGAGAGAGTGGGGGTGGGCATTCCTTAAGAGATGAGCTACAGCAAAAGGACTTCAAACCACTTAGGACCCCAGGCCACTGCCCAGAGACAATACTTCCCACAAAGCTTTGCTAGCCAAGGGCTCCTCCAACTGCTGTTTTTATTATCATAGCGTCCCAAGGTTACCATCTGGCCATGTGAGTCCACATTTCCCAAAACTGCAAGTATCAGAAACTAAAAGATTATATCTGACAGTTCAATAAGAAAAAAGGGGAAAAGAAAGATTACTCTCATTAAATTCCTAATCCATCATCTTGGTATTGCTAATCCAAAGACAGATTTGCTTGCCATAATAATACTAATAAAGATGAGAGGAAGAACAGTGTCATAATCTAAAAAATATCACTTATTACAGTTTTTCATTTTCTAAGAAAAAGACAGGGAAAGGAACCACATATGACTCAGCAGGAAAAGTACTGTTTCTTTACTCAGTTGACTCCCAGTTCCTAAAACCTTTATTGTGTGGACAGTTTGTGGTAAAACCTTGGGCTGTTGGGCTAAACAAGGCTGACCCTAAGGCATAGACCAGGAAGATGAAAAGACAAAGGAAGAAAGGCCTAAGAAAGGTAACTAAAAGTTGTGCATGAGAGGAAAGCAAAGGGGTGCATTTATTAAAAGAAAAAACATCTACCTGTAAAGAGTATCAGATTGCTTAGTCACAAGTCAACTCCAATGATGAGCAATGCTTGCTACAGAGACAGGTTCATGGTTTTTCCCGATATTTACTTTCCTTGCCTGCAAAACCCACTCAACTTCTCCCAGGTCTTCTTCCTTTTTCTGTCTGACCTCTATTTAAGGCTTTCTCCTCCTAGCAACATTTTTTTTTTCAAATATACCATCTCCTGCCCTACTCTAAAGACCACAACTGTCACTTACAACCCTGTAAGGACTCTACACCCAAGATGTGTCAAAGCTATCAATGTTGAAAACAAGACAAGAGATAATTTTTTACTTAGAAAACATTTTTTCCCCTGGATTGATGCAATTAGATACTAGAATCCATATATGTGTAAAACTACCAAAACTTCATCAAGGCCTTTTTATCTCTTGAGAACAGGTGTGAATAAGATACCAGAGGAACATTTTTCTTTAAACAGCTGAAAAGTAGGGAGATGCTGTGAGTCCTGTATATGCAATTCCAGACTTAAGGAGGTCTGACTTGCCACCAACACCCAAGAACCAGTTGGGTTGCAATTCAAGTCCTTTGCAATTGCCAAAATTGCATCCATGAGTAATTGGATGTTGGCTTAAATGTTGATAAAGGGAACTCCCATTATGGGAGAGATGGTTCTTCAGATTCTATAGGCATGACAGGTATGATAAAGTAATGTGGAATGTGTAGCTGGTTTTGGTTTAAAACCTCTATTTCTATGATCTCTTGAAGCAGTTTTTGCTTTTAAAAAATTCTATATAGTTCTTTGTAGGTGCCAGAAACTAAATACCACTATAGACACACTTTCCCAAGTGTGATTTCTAGAGTTTTTGCTTGTGGATATTTGAGTACTCAAGTTATTATCCAACTCACTCCTTTAAGACCTGGGGGCTATTTCAGTCCCTTTTAAGTCCCTGGATACCTTGCACATAGCCAATGCTCAATAAGTAGTTGTTGTGTTGATATCAAAGGGAGAGAAGGGCTAGAAAAACAGGTGAATTTTCTTATAGGATGAGCAGGTTTTGTAACTATAACTGCTGTGTTTTCAATCGTGCCCCTTTCTGCAGGGTCCTACACTGTGACATTTCTGAGAGGTAAAGGGACTGTTTGGTGATGCGAACTTTTCCCTTCCCCTTCCCTCTCTGCACTAGGAAAGGCTGTAAAGCTTGCCTGTCTTAGAGATGACCAGCCCAGCAATGACAATAAGCACCTATAACCCAGCAGGCACTGGGCAAAGGCAGAGATGGTCGGGTATTTTCAGCCACAATAGCTGAGGCCATTAAGATGTTTTCAAAAGTTGCCATACAAGTACATAAACCTATTAAAGCAAGTTAGGGTGGTGAGGGAAAGGTACACCTTGGGGGATGGACTTTGGCTGCTGTCAGTTTTTGTACTTTCTAATTACTTAGTGTTTTTCTGGGAATCGGAGAGTGAATTTAGTTTTTTGGGGGGTTTTTGTTTGTTTGTTTGTTTTTGCTTCTGTTATCTCCTAGGAATGGATGGACACATTCTGAGTATTGATATGGAAGCAAGGAGAAGACAATGGAAATTTTACAATAAAATGATCATTGATGTGGTAGTCATCACCATTAGAGAAGCCGCTTCCTGTCACAATTGCTGATATAGACACAATTATGTTTAGCTCATTATAATGTAATGTTTATGTGTGGAGCAGATCATAATACATTTTTTGGTTGAATAGCAATACTAACAGTAACAGGCTGGCAATGACCAAATTAACTGTGGCAGTAGAAAAAGAATTAAGAGAGCCTAGTTTATTAAAACTGGTGCAATATATTTAAATTGCCCAGAATGTTAGTTTTATAGCAAGAGAAAGAAAAGCAAGAAATAAATATAAAGCATAACACCAGCTACATCCTGTAGAAGCCATAAAGAATGCACTATATCTGTTGTGGTCTAAATATTTATATTCTATTTGTTATATCTTTACCGCATGTCTTCCATTTATTCAGTTAATAATTGTGACCTTAAATACATGGATTTAGGGCTATCCAGTGCTTGACAGAAATTCACCAGGATGAGGTGATCTCTTTTAGGTGACAAGTTTTATGTTTTTCATGGCTGATAGAACAAAGAAAATTCAAAACAACCTAAGAACCAGAGGTCCCAGTTCAATTCCCAGTTAGGGCATATACTCAGGTTGCGGGCTCCATTCCCAGTGTGGGTGTGCAGGAGGCAGCCAATCAGTCAATGATTCTCTCTCATCATTGATGTCTTTCTGACACTCCCTCTCCCTCTCTCTCTCTCTCTCTCTCTCTCTCTCTCTCTCTCTCTCTCTCTCCCTTTCTCTTTCCCCCCTTGCCCTCGTACATATATATATTAAAGAAAAATCAAGCCCTAATTGGTTTGGCTCAGTGGATAGAGTGTATGCCTATGGACTGAAGGGTCCTGGGTTCGATTCCAGTCAAGGGCATGTGCTTTGGTTGTGGGCACATCCCCTGTAAGAGGGGTGCAGGAGGCAACTGATCGATGTTTCTCTCTCATCGATGTTTCTAACTCTCTATCCTTCTCCCTTCCTCTCTGTAAAAAATCAATAAAATATATATTTAAAAAACAAATAAAAAAGAAAAAAAACCTCAAGACAGGAGACAGATTAACTGCATATCACTGTACATAAACTTAGTTATTGAATTTTAAAGTATTGAAAAAGTCAGCCAGTGTGGCCAGATGGCTGAAGGGGCCACATAGACTGTCCACTCAGCAAGGGCAATGAGAGGCTCCTTCCAGGAACGCGCCCTGGGACCCTGGCTTTGCCATCCCAGAGAGGTAGGCTGATGCAGTAAGGCTGGCCTCTGGTCCCTCAATATGGAGGATGGAACTCTTTTAGTTCCAAAGTTCTTTAGAGAATGTTTAATTTCATTGATAAAATCTTGAAGCATTTCCCTTCTCCCATGCCCCACAGAGTAATATGTTCAATTTAAATGAGAAAAACTTGTGTTTAAGCCTTAAAAATAGCTAAATTTACAACTATTACACAAAAAAGGTCTCAAATTAACATTTGAATGTTAATTATTTTTTTTGTTTTGAACTTGTTAAAAATATTCATACAAAGCTAAAAATTTCACTTTAACATAATTTATGCACATAATTATGATTACATTATTATCACAACATTCTCTAAACTTCTTGAACTGTCACTAACTTAAATAAAATTAGAGAATGAATTAATTATAATAATTCAGCCTAAAATTCTAGAACCAAATTTAACATTGGCAATGTTGGTTGCCCTGCCACCCCATCACTAACCTGACATTCCTAATTCAAAGACAGATTTGCGAGACATAATAATAATAATAATAATAATAATAATAAATATGAGGGGAAGAACAGTGTTATAATCTAAAAATATCACTTATTAAAAATACAGACAATATGGTCTACATCAACTACCAACCACCATTTTGTTCCAAGACTGCAGACAGATGAAAACAACTGAATGCCTATTAATATTTCCAAAAGCATTTCAAAAGAGGCCAGATCAGGCAATGCCACTTAACATGTAGAAGAAACAATGCACAGAGAATTATCAAGCAGTCAAGTTTTAAGACATT